ATCTAAAAATATTTATGCGGTTTGCATTAGTTGATGGAGAAGAACGAAAAACGAGAACAGAGAAGGAGCTGTTGATTATGGGGTGTCGAAAAGGGAGGGGTGACGATGATGATGCTGGAGTGGGGTGGGGATGGGGAAAGGAAAGAAGGAAGGCATGTGATAAATTAAATTCCGCCAATATGTCTCGTGCAGGTATACCGATCAACCAGTTGCTTGGTTGGTCTTAAAGTGTGATAATGTTCTCAACACATCAATAAGTGCCTTTATGTTGTATGTGGTTGATGCTGTCGTTGTTTACTGCTGTAGTGCTTATCTCGATGTTCAATGATTCCATCGACACTTTCCGACGATCTTTTGGAATATTCACTTATGCTAACCGCTTTTTCCCTGCTAGCAGTTCAAGGGGTGAAAATTGCAGTAAAAAAAATTAAGCAGAAAAGGTATGAAGAGAAGAAGAAAAAAATAATGAAAAAAACAAGAATAACCCAATCTTTACGCTTTGGCAAATCAGTAAAAAAAAAGCAACCCCACTAAAACGCTTGAGAGTCGTCAAAATTTTTATTGTCACTAAAAAGGATTACAGCAATCACCAATCAACGCATTTGGTCTGCAGCTCTACCGATGCAACAGGTAATGGCGACAGAAAAACCAAAATCACAATGGCGGCAACAACCGAATATATAGCAAAATGACGATGTTACGGCAACAGAGACCAATATGACACTCATCTATTTGTTACAGTGTTAACGTCATTAATTTTTTTCGACCAAAAATTTCCCAATAATACATAAAGTTTGCAGGTCATAAGTACCAACAGCAACAGTGGAAGCAGTATCAGTAGCAGTGCGGAGTGGCAGGTCATGTTTTTTTTTTCTTGCTGGCGTATAATCGCCATAGAAATCATTCAGTTCTGTTAAATATTTGAATACGACAACCGCGATGGCGCTGATGATGTTGATAACGACGATGACTCAGCTATGAAATTGTCATCCTCATCATTATTTACCTTGATCTTATTGCTCAAGCCTGTTTTCATTGGATTCTTTTTTTTTTTCTCTTGTCCTCCTAATTTCGTACTGCCCGACAACTAGTCCCTCGAACTGCTGTGAACATATGACAAAGAAAGGAAAAATGTTATTGAAATTTCATCTAAATTTTTATTTCTTCAATTTACTTTTAGCTTAACAACTGTAATAAATGTTCAAATAGCAGTATCGTTGTCATCCACCACCACAAAATTTTCACCAGTATATTCGATGTTTCCACCCAATAAACGAAACTCGTCCATTCACTTACTTCACTCATCGGACATTTTGACTATTCAAAGCAAAAAAAAAGTTTATTTTTCCTTTTGATTCTGCTCGCCACTTTTTCAGTTGCATACCATACTTTTGTCCTCCATATAATGATGGACTACTTTTTTTTTTTTTTTT